CCATCTTTCCCTTTTCCCACCCCTACTTTCCTTCCCATTTGCTCCCTGTTTCTTAGTCTCTATTTTTATTTTAAATTAGTTACTGAAAGGTTCTTGCCCTAGTAGACATTATAGCGGTGGTCTAGGGTGGCAGAAGGCCAAAGAGGAAACGCCCACCACTTCCTGCTTCTTCCTCTGCTTTAACTGCAACTGCCCTTCCTCTTTGCGGGCACAGAAACCTCCAATCAGCTCCTCAAGCGTCAGCAATGCCCGCCCTAAGCACCGCCCCAGGCGGAAATTACATGAATATCCCATGCCCCATGTTTCCTGCAGAGAAAGCCAGGCCCTGGTGGTCATGAAGTTCTCTTCAGGTCCTTAGAACAAAGGCTATTTTTACTTTATATTCTGTCTTTTATTGCACCGAAAACTCTTTCAGTTATACTTTTGGTTTCTCATATAAGAGAAACCAATCAATATTTATTGATCTGATTTATTTCACTTAACATTATGGTTGTGAGTGAGGCACATGCTGGCAGGTGGGAACCAGCAGCATGGGAAAGTCTGAAGCAGCAGTGTGGCTGGGAGTCAGCAGTTGGTGAGTGATGTGAACGGGCACTGAGCTTTGGTGCACAAACATGCAAAACAAAAGTGTGCAGATGAGGCGCCATTTTATTTCAAAAGGTTCAGGGCAAACCCCGGGGCAGAACAGTGCTGAGCTGCTTCACTGCCAGTGTCCCAGGCTGGAATGAAGGAAGAGTCACTCAGTCAGGATAGACTGCTGGCAGGTGGGAAGGAGACTGGGAATTCTGCGGAGAGGTAGGAGATGGGCCCACCCAGACTGCTCCAGTGGCCACCAAAACCCAGCCTTAGCCTTCCTGGCATGAGACCAGCAGAGTGCCATAATCAGGCAAGCAGCCTTGGCCTGCAGCAGGACAACAGCACTCCTCCTGCTCAAGGACTAGCTTGTAAGAGGGTCAGTAGTGTGGAACAGAGAAAGTGTGCAAGGACCCAAAGGAATAAATTGTACACAGGTCTGGGAGCAACATCGAGTTTCCCTACCCAAGGGTGCCACAGCAACTGGGACAGCACTGTAGAGGCGATCACAACACAAAGTGGACACCAGAACATTGTCTGCTTAGGACCTGTCCCACCCCAACATCCAGAGGTCAAGATCAGCCCTCACAAGCACAAGTCCTACCTGAAAACTTGGTGGGATTATACAGCACATTTCTGGGATCCACCTTGGATGCTACCATAGAACTGTGGACACCAAAGGAATTCTATTATTTTTCTTTTCTTTTTTTGTTTGTTTGAGTGGTTTTCCTTTTTCTGTATGATTGGGTTTTTTCTTTCTCTTTTCTTTTTACTATTTAGGTTTCTTGCCTTTTTTATTTTCTTCTATTAGTCTTTCTCTTTTCTCAGCTATTCTTCTTAACAATGATATTTTCATTGTCTCTTCTGTTTTTAGTTTAATATTCTTTTTTTTTTGACTTTTTTAGTTTTTATCAGTACTAGGGATTGAACTCACAACCGCTTGCTTGCAAGGCAGGTGCTTATGCCGCTGAGCTAAATCCCCAGCCCCAGTTTAATATTCTTCAATATTCTTTTGCTTTCTTTGACATTTTGTCTCTCCTGTGTTCTCCAGCTTCTCAAAATTGGGTGACCACCTTTTGCCCTCCAGCCTTGCTTCTACTATATCTTTCCTCATTGATCTATCTTGTCTCTTATTCCTCTTAAATTCCCTCAGACACAAGATAAAATCACTCTACTAAGAGGGAAGTCATTCCCACATGTTCCCTGGTATATGTTGGATCTTGTCCTATAACTATAGAATTTGTTTTTACGGTTTGTAAGTGGCTAGTCTGTGCTTGATGTTGTTGTTATGCTAACTACTAATTTAGCTATAATCAGTTTTTCTCCCTTGAATGACAACACCGTGATTGTTGGGGATCATAACCATCATCATAGTCCAGTAGCAAGGGACTGGGTGCTGAGCCAAATGGACAGTAACTCCTCATCCTTAATAAGTTGGGAAGGTAGATTCTTGGAACAGACACAAAGAGCAAGAACCACCTCTACCTAGAAGATATCCTTGAGGAATAGACATTTCCCATGTAAGCCTCAATACTAGTGATAAACCTATCTACCGTAAGAAATCTACAAGCATCAACACAGAAACAAAATAAAATAAAAAATAGAAAATGACAAAATGAAGAAGCAAAATGCAACCCTAGACCGTCAGACTACCCAGGACAAGTTCAAAGCACAATGAAATACAGGAAATTGGGAGCTGCCCTCTAGAACTTTCTAAAATGATAGCAGCAGAAGTGAAAAATAATGGGTGAGGCAAAACAATCTCTCAGGTTAAAAAAAAAGAAAGAATGATCAAAAAAGAAATTAGAGCATACAAAGATTAAAAAACAAAGGAGCTTAAGAAAATGATGGAGACAATGAATGCCCAACATAGGAAAGAAATAGAATCCATAAAACACATACAAAGAGAAATTGAGGAGATTAGAAACTCCATTGAAAGTATACACAACAGACTGAACAAAGGAAAGGATAGAATATCAGATCTAGAAGGCAGGATTGTGGCTAATGACCACTGAAAGAAAACTATCTTGAAAACAGCAAGAGACTTAAAAAGATGAAGCAAAGAGCAAGCAACACAAAATAGACAGAAGTCAATAAAAAAGTTAGAGCAAATGCCATAAAATGTCTTCACAGAAATAATGGCAGAAAACTTCCCAAACATGGGTAAAGAATTTGACACACAAGTAAGTGAATCATAGAGCTCCAAATAGCCAAGACCTAAATAAATCTACACCAAGGCATATAATAATAAAGATTCCAGAAGTTCAGCACAAGAACAAAATATCAAAAGTGGTTAGAGAAAAGAAACAAATCACTTATAAAGAAAAGCCCATCACAATCACAGTAGATTTCTCAACACAAATCCTTGAATCAAAGAGAGCTTGAACGGAGGCATTTCAGCCCTAAAAGAAAACAACCTCCAACCCAGACTGTTGTGTCCTGCAAAACTATCTTTTAAACTCAAAGATGAAATGAGATAGTTACATGACAAAGAACAATTGAAGAAATTCATGATCACCAAACCAGCTCTATAAAATACTCAGAGGGCTATTTTAGAAAGACAAAACAAAGAACACAATTACAAGAACACCAATAGAAAGAAGCCAACACAGTTAAACAGAAGGGAAAGACACAGAATCAACAACGGGAAAATAATATGAGAAGAATAAGCCATATTCAGTGTATGCATCAATCTAAATGGTCTCAGTTCACCAATCAAAGGAAACAAACTGGCAGAATGGATCAAGAAGTAAGATCCAACAATATTTTGCATTCAAGAAACATTTTATCCTCAAATGTATAGACTGGCAGTCAAAGAATAGAAAACAGTACTCCACATGAAATTAGAAAAAAGCATGGGTGGCAGACAATGTGAACTTCAAGCCAATACTTATCAAAAGAGACAAAGAAGATCACTACATACTTGCTAAGGGAAAACTCCAAGAAAAAGAGATAATAGGTATAAATATATATACACCAATTTATTGCAATGAATTCTCACATCAAGAAAACACTCAAATAAACCACTTAATATTAAACCTTAAAATTCTAGAAAAAGAATAAAAAATCAAATCCAAAGCTTGTAAAAGGGAAGAAATTATAAACATGGGAGCAGAAATTAATGCAACGGACACTACAAAAGCAATACAAAGAATCAATGAATTGAAGAGTTGGTTCATTAAAAGACTAAATAAAATTGATAAACACTTATCCAACTTTATCAAAATAGAAAGGGAAAGAGACTCAGATTTATGGACTTAGGAACAAAAAGGATAAAATTACAATGGATTCTTCAGAAATCCAGAAAATCATCAATATTTACTTCAAGAATCTGTACTCTAGGTGAGGATATAGCTCAGTGACACAGCACCTGCCTGGCAAGTACAAGGTCCTGAGTTCATGACCAAGCAGGATTCATTCCAGGGATGCAAGGATGGTTCAATATATGGTGTATTACATTTATTGATTTGCATATCACCAAAGCCTAAGACAAAAATCACATGATCACTTCAATAGACACAAAAAAGCATTTGACAAAGTCCAATACCCGCTTATGATAAATACTCTACAGAAAATTGGAATAAATGGTCTTTATCTCAATCTTATAAAAGCCATCGGTGACAAACCAACACCAGCATCATACTAAGTGGTCAAAAACTGGAAGCTTTCATTCTAAAATCAACAACAGTATAAGGGTGGTCACTATCACCACTCCTGTTCAATATAGTTCTGGAAATATTAGCCAGAACAATTACAAAAGAGAAAGAAAAAGAAATAAAAGGAATAAGGGTAGGAAAGGAAGAAGTTAAATTATCATTATTTGCAGATAACATGATACTCTACATAGAAGACCTCCAAAACAACACTCAAAAATCAATAGCATTCAACACAAACAGCAAACTCAATGAGAGAGAAATTATGGAAACCATACTCCTCACAATAGCATAAAAAATGAAATACTTAGGAATCAATCTTACAAAGGAAGTGAAAATCTATACACTAAAAATTATAGTACTCTAAAAATGAGATCAAAGAAGATATCAGAAGATGGAAAGTTATCTTTGCTCATGGATATGCAGAACCAACATAGTGAACATGGCCATACTTCCAAAATTGTTATACAGATTTAATGCAATCCCAATCAAAATACCATTAACATATCTCACTGAGCTATAGAAAGTATTCCTAAAATTCATTTGGAACCAGAAGAAACCCACAATAGCAAAAACAATTTTGGAGAACAAAGGCAAGGCAAAGGACATCAAAATCCCTGACTTGAAATTATACTACAAAGTTACTGTGATAAAAGCAACATGATACTGGCAAAAAAAAAAAAAAAAAAAAAAAAAAAAACAAAACAGAAAAACTGAGGATCAGTGAAATGGATGAGAAGATGCAGACACAACTACAAACACTGTCAGCCACTGTATTTTTTAAAATCTTTTATTTTTTTGTCTTTTTCCTTTTTATCAGTACCAGGAATCGAACTCACGACTGCCTGCTTGCAAGGCAGGCACTTATGCCGCTGAGCTAAATCCCCAGGCCCCCCAGCCACTGTATTTTTGACAAAGGGGCCAAATACATTTCCTGGAAGAATGCCTCTTTAATAAATGGGGCTAGAAAAACTGACTTTCCACATGCCAAAGACTAAAAACTAAACCCAGGTCTTTCACCATTGCTCTAAACTGAAATTGAAGTGTGTCAAAGATCTAAATATTAAATCAGGAACACTAAATCTTCTGGCATAGGGAACAGGTAAAATTCTTGAAGACATAGGTGTAGGCAAAGATTTCATGAACAAAACCCCAACTGCATGGGAAATACTACAAAGAATCAACTGAGATCTCATCTTATTAAAAAGCTTTTGCATAGCCAAATAAAATCATCAACAGAGTTGCAAAGACAATCCACACGGTCAGGAAAAAAATTAGCCAGTTGTCCCTGAGACAAAGGACTAATATCTAGAACATATAAAGAACTGAAAAATATCAGACCCCCAAATTTAAAGAACCAATCCAAAAAATGGGCATCTGAATGAATACACACTTCTCAGAGAAAGGAATACAAATGGAAATAAATACATGAAAAAATGTTCAACATCACTGGTTATTGGAGAGATGCAAATTAAAACAACACTGAGATTCCATCTCATTCCAGAAAGAATGGCTGTCATCAAGAAGCCGACTGATAACAAATTGGTGGAGAGGCCATTAGGGAAAAGAAACTCTTCTCCACTGTTGGTGTGGATGTAGATTGGTGCAAATCAGTGTGGAGCTTTCTCAAAAATCTAGGACAACATGTTCCATTTAATCCAGCTATTTCCCTTCTTCCCTGAAAAATTAAACGCATCATACCATAGCTGTATATGCACACCCATATTTATAGCAGCACAGTTTGCAACAGGTAAATCTTGAAAACAATCCAAATGCCCGTCAACCAAGGAATGGAGATAATGCTCAGCTGAAAAGAGGTTAGTGACATCTCTGGGTAAATGGATGCACTTTGAGACCATATTCTTGAGTGAAATAAATTAGACACATGTGTAAATATTACACTGCCTCTCTGGTGTGAGAAACGAAAGTAAGGACCAATATGTACAGGACATATTGTAAATAAGAAATTGTTCAAAAGGAAAAGAGGAACTGGGGGGGGGAGGGGAAGGAAGGGAAAAGAAAAAAGATAAAAAGAAGGATAAAATGGAACAAAACTTTGTAAATGGGGAGAGGAGGAGAGGGTAAAGGAAAGAGGGAAAAAAAGAGGAGTCAAAAAATATCACATACAGGAACAAATGTCCTATGATGAAGATGATCAGTGTATATCTAAATTGTACCAACAAAGTTAATTTTTAAAAAAACATTATGGTCTCAAGGTAGAGGCATTTCATAAAAATTACTCAAATTTATCCTTTATGGCACAGTAGTACTCCATTGTGTACATATAACACATTTTCTTTCATCTGTTTATGGATATATGGGATGCCTCCAATATTTAGCTCTTATAAGTTGTGCTGCTATAAACATAGGTATGCATGCATCACTGTAATATGCTGTCTTTAACTTTTTGGGGAAGATGCCCAGAAGGGGGTGGGCTGGGTCAAATGAAATTTCTAGTTTCGGTTTTTTGCAGAATCTTCATGTTGATTTCCATAGAAGTGTACTAGGTTACATTCACACTAACAGTGTAGAAAAACGCCTCATCCCCCCTCACTGCAGAGATAATTCTTGAAACAATAAAGAAAAACTAAATATGGCAAAATATTAACAATTGGTGAGTCTCAGTAAAAAAAATATGAAGTTTACTATATTATTGTAGCAACTTTTGAGATTTTTAATAAAAGGTAAAAAAATGGTAAAAATCCAGATAATGTGGATATACCATGTCTAAAAGAAATAAAGAAATATTGAATTATTTTTAATATATTGTTTTAAAATTTTAGAGCTATTTACATATATTTAAATTTTAGGATAGGTCTAGCTGAAGTTTGCTCAGTGGTACAGCATTTGCCTACTATGTGGGAGACCTGGGTTTAACCTCATTTAAAACATATTTTTAAAAATAACAATGAAGAATAAAAACAAAACTTTGACAAAAGAAAAAAAAAGTACATAAAATGAAAAGTCTAATTTAAAAGGGTAGAAATTAGTCCAAAATGTACCACTAATCACAATATACACAAATAGCAATATTAAAGACACCTATTTCAGACATTGTCTGATTTTAGACTTAAAAACACAGTCTGGACATATCCTTAATACTTTTCCCTTAAAAACTACTCATAAACTAAAACTTTAGAAGGAAAATAAAGGACTCTAGAATGATATTTCACATAAATACTTAACAAAAGAAACATGAAACCTGGTGGTATATGCCTACAATACCAGCACTCTAAGCAGTTGAGGCAGAAAGACTACAAGTTCAAAGCCAGCCTGGGCAAGCTAGTAATTTAGAGAGACTCCACCTCAAAATAAAAAAGGACCACGGACATAGCTGACTGTGAAGGCCCTAGGTTCAATTCCTAGTATAAGAAAGAAAGAGAGAGAGAAGAAGAGAAAGGGAGGGAGGGGGAGAGAGAGAGAGAGAGAGAGAAGGAAAGAAAGAAAAAGAAAATTTAAGGCCAAAAGAATTTCTAGTAATAAAAAGTGACATATACATGTGGCCAAATTTTCTTCCTGAGTCTATCATTTTTATTTTATTTTATTTAAAGAAAAAAAAATAGTAAAAGGGTACAAGTAATACAGAATTTCAAAAAAAAATGAACAGTAAGAAATCACTAGTTAATAGCAACATATTGTCATCTTAGAAACAGTTGTTCAAGTTACAGGATTAAAGCATACAAAGTGGACATTCAAACAGTGAGACTGCAAACAGTTCTGTTCAATGATCCAACAAAAACTTAGTAATATGATCATCCATCTTACACACCTAAATACACTTGCAGTTGTATCCTTTAGAGCACTTTCTTTTCCTCCCTTTTTTACAATAACATTTACACATTTTGGTTTTATTACTCCCACAGTTCTTATTACTTTTTTTTTTTTGGAAGACAATAAAACCAAATGTGACAAAACAAAGCAGTCAGTCAAAATAAAGGATGGACATAGTACATGATGTAAAAACAGAATACAAGGAAGAGTCTATCATTTTTTATTTCCAGTAGCAAAACTGACTTTTATTCCCGTAGGATAGCATCAGTAACTTATTTTCATTTTTCAATTTGATAAACAAAAGCAAAGATTTTTGGGGAGTTTAATTTCAAAGCCTATATTTCTCAAACACAGGAGAAACCACACAACAATATTTTGAAGTCATTGGCCCGCTCCCTGCCCAGAGATGTAGAAACTGTATATTTGTTAGGGCCCAAGGGGCCTAAGCCAGTGGACATTTGACCACTGAGCCCAGCCTCCCAGGATGACATCTGTTTGTGTGGGATATATTTCAGCTAATTCTGAGCAGCCCATTTAATTTCTATACAGCTCAGTATTTTTTTTGTAAACACTTGATCTTAGCCAAAAGGCTGAGAAATGATTTGTTTGCTATGCAATGATCAGCAAAGCTGTTCAGTGCCCCAAGGCAGCAAACAATAATAATTCTCTTACAACCACTTCTGAAGGATCAATTGCCCTTCATTTTAATGTAAAGCTTTCATTAGAAACTCTTGACTGGAATTAGGTACTGGCTTGATTTCTTGTCACCCACAGCTCTAAGGAGGAAAGGTTTATTTTAGCTCACAGTTTATAGCAGTTTCAGTGCATAGTCTAAAATCAGAGCAGGGTAGAATAGCAGACAGATAAAGTAGAGGAGAAACAGTCCATGGCACGGCGGCAGGAAGCATTTAGTGATCAACCAAGGGAAGGGGCTCGATCTTCGCCACCATGGCTCCAGTGACCCCTCTTCTCCAACCACGCTTCACCTCCTAGATTCATCCTTAACTATAAACTCCTCAGTGGAATAATCACTGATGAGTGTCATGGACCTTGATCCAATCCCACCTTTCCAAGGCTCCATCTGTGAGCACAGGCCACTTTAGGGGGATATCTAGATTGAAACCATAACAAGGTGCAGTTAGAAATCTCCACAGAGATATCTGATATATTTTCCCAAAAACAAAGAAAGAAAAAAGAAAACGTTCTCTATAAAATTTAGTCCAAGTTTCCTGAAATTGTTGATAAGAATTCTTTGAATTCACTGAAAAAAATTGAATGATGATTTAATGAATTAATTTCTGCTGTGTTCTCAGATCTAATTCTCAAATCAAGCTATGGTTTGGGCAGTGTCGTTGTCTTCATTTACTATCAAATCGAAGCCAGGAGGGTTAAATGACTTGCTCAATGCTAAATGCTAATAAGCAGACTCATGCTTAAAATCTAGATTGATGAGCTCAACAAAAATAAACTCTCATCAGCATGGATAAGACTGCAAATGATACTAATAGTTATAATTTCTCACTAACCAGTTTGAATCATTTACCATAGAAGACACTAAGTATCCCATAAAGAATCTAGGGTACACATTATGATTAACACAAACAAATTTCAGATTCAATCTTTCTCTGTGTTCTGGAAAATTCTGTATGCTTAGTCAGTAGCAGCAATCTCTTTAGCAAGGATTAGACAGTTCCTCAGCCCTCGTAAGGCCAGATTCAGGGGATAATATTCTTTGACAGTCTAGCCTGCTTGTCCGCATAGTTTTGCTGATGCAGCTGCTTCTGCTTGATGCTTCAGAAAGGTTTTTCTAATTTATAGTCTGAAGTTAAAATTAGCTAAGTTTTAAAAAGCAGTACAAAAACCACATGCATCGTTCCATCACCGTCTCAGAATACTGCCTGCTTCCGTGCCCACACTTTTTGCTTGAGTGACTGGAATCTCAGTTTCCACAAAGGGAAGAAGAAAAATAATAGCAGGACATGGAAAGGAGAGCAAAACTACACAAAATACTTTACAGTAATGGAGAAACAAATTACATTGCTTTGGTTTCCAGTGTCATTCTCAGAATCGGCAGAAGAAGGCAAAGCAACAGTCCCCATGTTTGCTTCTGTGTTTTCTTTCATTTGTCTCCCCTGGCATCGCTGCGTCCTATTTACCACTGTCTGCAGGAAAATGAAAACAGACCGTGCTTGCTGCAGGCCACAAGCAAGGTCTCTTTTGATCTGCATTTTGCAGCTCCTTCCTTGTTGTTCCATTACTCACAGATGGGTTTAGCTTTTGTTGGTTTTGTTTCAAAGCATTTACCCAAAAACTCCATGAAAGAAAATCAGCATCTCTTAAATTCTTCCACAAGGACTTTAAAGTGGCAAATATACCCACCAATACTAACCCTGATCACTTTTATTGTTATTAATTTTTTAATGAAAATAAACGAGCTTAGGCATATAAGCAGTCCTGAAACTATTTCTCCTTCTTAGCTATCTATTTTTGCTATCTCAGGGGCAGTGTTGCAAAGTTTCATGCATTATCCTCTTAAAGCTTTGCCTCCTGCAGTTCCCAGGTTGTGACAAAAATACAATGCAAATATGTATCTTGTTATCCCCAAACACATGCTCTGTTGGAAATGTGCTTAGATAACTCTAGCCACAGATCACTTTTCAAAGCTTTATTTTATCCTCACCTTTAGCAAATCTTTTCCTAAAACATTATTGAAAAACACAAGTGGCCCTGCTCAGCCTTTTCTTGGAAGAGTAACAGTGGCTGGCATCAGGTTTAGTCTCTTTTCCCTGCTTAGGAAGGAGCCTGAAGACTCCATACAGAACACGCAGGGTAAGTACCAGCTTTTAAATAGAGTTGACATATTAGAGAATCAGGCTTGTAATTCTTGGTTGTGAAAAGAAATCTAGAAAGGTAACAAGTGACAATAATTTTTTCTGAAAAATACTTCTGCTTCTTCCTACACTTATTTAAAAATTAATAGCACATAGAAAGTTTTTCTGTTCAGAGATTTTTACCCAAGGAATGCTGTGTAAATTTTATTAAAGCAGCTGACTACAAGTGCTAGTTATTCTGGATGGTAAAGCAAAATACAAATCAACAGCTACTTGCATGTTAAAAGAACTATAAATTCTTTGGAGTTCTTCTTCAACTATCTAATTAAAGGGAGTTTTAAAGAGAACAGAAGGGGAAAGAATCATGCAGGACGAAAGCTCTCTTATTAAAGACCAAGAAGCCAAATCAAGTCTAAAGTTCAGTCCATTTCTCAGACAGACACCCATTCTAACAAGTTCTAAATGATGACGTCTCTGGCAGGAAGGATAGGCCACAAGGCCAAAGCATAGAGGCTTGGAGATAGTCACAAACCAGCTGCCCTCAGGACTTCTCTAGCAGTAGCGTACAGAAAGCAGTTAGCTCAGGGATACATTTGCTTTCAAGAAACAAAGTTCAAATACTGAGTTTCTTCTTCTTCTTTTTTTTTTTTTTTTTGCCCATTCACAATAAAATATTGACAGAGATTTGACAGTTATGTTAATTCTAGCATACATAGTGCCCATTCCACTTTATAAATAGATTATAATCAAAGCTACACATATTTTCTGAACTTTAAGAGCCTAAAGGCTCAAAATAGTGAGAAACACATTACAACGAGAAATATTACACTCATGTAATTGCTTATTAAACACAATCCTGGCTGGTTATTTTTTGTATTTGAGGCTGATATAAGTAGTTTGCTCTTTCTGGAATTTTTAAATCAATTCCTAAACAGAAATAGTATTCTTCAGTAGAATAGGATTCTACTGAATATTCAGTAGAATATTCTTCTTGGTCGTCTTGCCCAGTCTTGGCTAAGATCTTAAAAATATTCAGCAGTACCTAAAATCTTTAAATCCATTTAAACATCTCCATTCTTGCAAAAACTTTATGTTTACAGAATTGGCTCTGTATGTAATGCTGAGTTATCAGTAAGATTAAAATTAGACCTTCAATTTTCCAGGGTCAATGTTGTTATTTTTGGTTTGCGTTTTTAAAAATATAGTTTTTTCACTTTATTTAATTATGAAGTCAAATGAAAATCTCACCTTGTGATGCCCAAATTCATTCAAAATACTTCCCAGTTTCCTGGTATTGCTGTGTGGTTTTTGGGCGGCAAGAGCAGGATGAGGGTCCCGCCAATCGATGGATACGCGATGGTACCACAGGCGCTGACTCTCCAGAATGTGAGCGGATTTGATGCTAGGATCAAAACGGTGCACCTCACATCCATCATTGGCCATGCTCACCTCAAAACGGGTATCGTCACTTCCCAGCCTGGAGAGAAAAAGGATAGAAATCAACACAAAATCATAATGCAGCAAAGTCTTGGGTTAGCAGCATGACAATTTCAAGGCCAATTTTCTTATTTTGAGACTGCACCCTATTTAGATACATATACAATGTACATATTCAATAAACTTTTTTCTCCAAATCTAATTTATTTCAAGAATAAAAATTTTAAAAACAAGAAAAGGAAAAAACTACAACAAAATTGCAAAACGCATCAGTCAGGGAGCAATATGGTACACATACTGTGCATTGTCATCCCCAAATCATTCACCCAGAGCACAAGACATGTGCCTTCAATTGTCCAGACAGTACAGGGACAGAGTTTTCTCTTCAGTGAACTCAGAGAAATCAGTAGTAAAACTATGTAAACTGTTATATATATATATATATATATATATACACACACATATATGTATTTTATTTGTTTCTCATACTAATGAAACAATACAATGTTTACACATGTGTGTCTGATTTATTTCACTAATTAGTATGTTTTCAAGATGCATCCATTTACCTATACAAATCTACAGTTTATCTTTCTTTATGGCTGAGTAGTACTCCATTGCATAAAAATACCAAATCTTTTTTATCCATTTCTTAGTTGATGGGCATTTAGGTTGTTTCCAAGATCTAGTTATTACAAACTATGTTGCTATAAACATGGATGCACATATATCACTGTGGTATGATGTTTTTAATTCTTTTGGGAAGATACCCAGAAAGGAAATAGCTGGGTTGAATGGGACCTCTAGTCCTAGTTTTTTGAGGAATCTCCACACTGAATACCACAGTGGCTGCACCAGTCTGCATTCCCATCAACAGTGGAGAAGGGTTCCTTTCTCCCCACACCCCCTCATGGCATTTATCAGTGCTTGACTTCTTGATAGTAGCATTCTTTCTGGAATAAGGTAGAATCTCAGTGTTGTTTTAATTTGCATTTCTCAAATGACCAGTGATGTTGAACATTTTTTCACATATTTATTTGTTCTTTGTATTTCTTCATCTGAGAAGTATGTATTCATCTCAGATGCCCATTTTTGGATTGGTCTTTAAATCTGGAAAGATTGATTTTTTTGGAGTTTTTTACATATTCTCAAGAGTAATCATTTGTCTGAGGAACAGCTGGCGAACATTTTCTCCCACATTGTGGGTTGTCTCTTCATTCTGTTGGTGGTTTCTCTTGCTGTGCAAAAAGTTTTTAGTAGGGTGAGTAGTTGTTGATTCTTTGTGATAGTTCTGTGCAATCAGAATTTTATTCACGAAGTCTTTGCCTACACCAATGCCTTCAATAGTTTTATCTATTCCATCTTCCAACAGATTCAATGAATTTTAATACTAAGATCCTTGATGACATTCAATAAACTTCTTTCCCCATCCCAAAATAAAAGCATTATAACTCCAATCCTTTGAATAAAAAGAATTTGCTAACTGCAGACCAGAATATCACACTCTCATGCATGTAGAAACATATCAAAAAAGATTTTTTAAAAAGATATAATAGCAATGATATATAAATAAGGATATCTTCTATTGTTAAAAAGACTTCCTTGAAATATGCCAAAAAGATAATCCTTGGATTCATTCCTTTTTAGGAGAGGTGCATCCTACTAATGAGGCAATTTGTCTCCATCCTAATGCCCACATTGCTGTGCAAGCATTTGCCTTAAAGGCAATAGCTGTTTTCTTAGAAATGGAGTCTATTTTAAAGTATTACAGGTAAAGAAAAGAAAAAAAGGCAAATATACATGGTTCTACTGGATGTAGCATGCAAGAAGCAAGAGTCCCTTTATCTAAATTCACATTACCAAAGGGAAGAAATTATGAATTAATAACACATAAGGCTTCAGTAGGTAGAAAAATAAATGGGCAATTAATATACTTATAAATATTGAATTTACTCAGAAATATTTCTTACTTGATCGTACAGGAATCATTGCTTCAACTAAAACAGCAGTTTGAATGAGCACAAAATTTTTCAAACAGCACAAAATTAACCAATAAAAACTCTGTATGTGCTTTAGTATATCAAAATTGCTCAGAATACCTATACTACATTGGTCAAACTTGAACCCAGGCAGAAATGCTTTATTATGTTAAACTACTACTCCAGAGTATTGCATAACTTAAAACATACAAGTTCAGTGGATAACAATTATTTATCAGGTCTCTTCCTTGCCTTTTTTTTTTTTTTTTTTGGTACCGGGGATTGAACTCATGACCTCTCGGTTGCCAAGCGGGCACTTATGTCACTGAGCTAAACTCCTGGTCCTCCTCCCTCCTCCTGTCCCTTCCCCCTACTCACTGGATTCCGTGACACACCAGTCAATTTTGTGACGTCCCTCAACCATAGTACTTTTCACCCTCTTCGCCTAGATAAAGATCCCATACTCCTCTTGCATACTCTCCTTGCTTCTACAGAACAGGTCCTACTCACTATTTTCTAATTTCCTGTTGAATCTGCATAATTCAGACCATTTTAATCGCTATCTGTCTTCTCCCGGTTTTTCCAACGTCTAACCTGCCGTAGCAGACTGAGTCACTGACCCTAATTCTTCGATCCTCTTTGATCCACTGCACTGTTCTGTTCCTGAGGGAAAGCCCTTCCTGTTCCTTGATTTTGCTGACTTGGTCGCCTGACTTCTCTCCCAGAAGGAAGTTGCAGGCCCCCAGTCCTTATCCCAGGCCTAGAGTGCTCTACTCTGGCAATAGAATTTAAAATAAAAATGTGCCCAGCACAGCTTGCCAGTGTCAAGAAATAAGAGGTAGGAAGCAATCCCAAGTCCTCAATCATTTCTTCCCCAGAAAACAGAACTGCCTTGGCCACCTTATCTTGATATAAAGAATCCTACTAGAGGCCATCCTGGATCAATTGGAGCTAACCTGCAGATACATAAGCAACAATAAATAACGGGTTTTAAGACATTGAGTCATTAGAGTGATCTGTTACAAAGCAACAGCAATCTGATATGCCTGGTATTCCATACAAACCCAACTTTCTGCCAAAATTACAAGCATTTTTAATTCATACATTTATTTCTCTATGGAAAGTCAGTCATAGAAGTCATCTGTTGTGAAGGCTTTTTCATTTTGCTAACTTGGTTGAAAGTTAAATGAGCAAAATAGTATTAACACAGGTCACGCAGTAGGAAAGGACAGTTGTGTAACTTCACTGTGACAACGTAATGTCAAAACGTATTCATTAAATACAATTTGTAAATGAGCCTCTTGCAGTAAAAATGCTCATACTTTCTTCCTTAGAGAATTTTCAGAATTTATAAAAAGATTTTCCTACTTGTAAGCTCACACTTCTATTTAATCAAGATCTTTAAAAATCATAAGAATTAAGTGATTAGTTATTTTTAACTAATTGTTTAGGCAAGGCACTTTATTGTCTATTGATTCCAATTTAAACTTTTTAGAATTAAAAAATTACAAACACACAAAAACTCTAATTGTAAGAAGTACATAAAATGAAAAGTGGACATTTTTACCACTAGATATTTAGTGCTAATTTTGGCAATTTTTTGTGTATCTTTTTCAGGCATTTTTCAGACATACACGAGTGTTTTCTATTACAAGTTACCATAAGTACACACATACACACATAAGTTAATTGTTCAATAGTGGAGATTACTGTATACAATATATGTAAACTAATAACATAGAACTATTTGTAGTTTGTAATTTTTAACTTAACATGTATCATTTTTATTCAATCAATTTAATCTTAATATATAGGTATGTACTGTACTAGAAAGAGATTATATAATATGTTAATTACACAGAATATAATTATATAGAATATAATTATGTATATTAATTATATAGAATATATAATATTCTATATAATATACAATTCTATATAATATAGAATATAATTAATATACATAATATTAATTTAACTAATGTTCTAATGCTACTTTGACGTACTTGAAATGGTATTTCTTCAGGCTTAGTTTAAATTAGTCAAGACTGTAGTAGGTACAAAGAGCGAGGAGAAGAACAAAGTCAGGTTCTTTCTGGGAGGTTCCAAAGCACACGCTTGTTACACTTCACCTCACAGTAGATGAACACAGAACAATATTGAGGGTCTCAGCGGTCTAGAAAACTGTCAGTTATGAGACAGCAAAGCTCCATAAAGAAAAGTTCTGTGTTAACCTTGCTCATTTCTGAATCCTCAGTGCTGAGGGAAGAAATAATGACACACAGACCTAACGAATTCTGCCCTAAGTGAAACAAAATTATAGATCAAATCTGAAATTCCCATAATATACTGTGCTGTAATCCAAACATAGCATGTGGTAGACCTCATTTCACTGACTTATTCATTTATATAAACACATACTTGTATGTGTTTATATGTGCAAGGAACCATACAGGACACAGGGAACAAATGGATGAATTAAACGTGGTTCTTGATCTGAGGAAGCTCCCAAAGCAGTAATGAAAAGCTTTGAACAAATAACTATACTGACGATTATTATTTATAGCAAGGATGTACTTAGTTCATAAACCATTTTATGTTGTTATTTGATTGGAAAATTCACTGTAGAAAGTTTTACTGGACAGAAACATTTTGTTTGATGTTTATTCCACGAAGCGAGAAGGATAGAGCTTCTGGCTTCCATGTCAAGGTCCAAAGTGACTGTTCCATTGTCTGCCATCCTGTATGCATTCCGGTCATCAGGAGAGGGCAGTAGGGGAAGCAGTGGTCGCATCTTTTCCTGTGGGCCCACAGCCTGAAAACTGTGCACGTCACTGCCACTTATGTGTGACCACTTAGTGCCACACGAAGGCCAGGAAATACACCCTCCAGTAGGGTGGTCATGTGCCCTGGTAACCTCAGAAATTCTGTTACTGAGGGAAGAACAAGCAAATGGATATTACGGAACAATCAGCAGGTCCTACAACAACCCACTTCTGAAAGAGCTGAGTAGTTAAGATATATATTCAAAAGTGCAAGCCTTTGAATTGAGTGTGCAACCTCTGCTTCCCTACGGGGGAGACAGAATTGTGTTTAAAATATTATTCGCCATACATTGACGCTGGGGTTTGAGGTCACAATGATTTTTCAGCACAGAAGGAACACCAAATCTAGAAGCTAATGGAGAAATAGAAAGGGGGAATTCTACAGAGCTAAATTTCCAAAGATAATAGAATAATAGTGTGGCCATTTTGGCTGTCCTTCTCTAATGGCTTAAAGAAAAACAATCCTGCATGCCACTGTGTGGCTTGTACACTAAACTACTCTAAGAGATGCCGTGCACATCATAATGATGACCACAATGATGATTTTCTAGCAGATGCAGTGGGGTTCCTGAGGGAAGGATGCTTCTTTTGCAGTGGTACAAAGGTGTTTTTCACCAGCTGTGGCTGGTGCTAGAAATCAGGGACATGCCCTTTAATCCTACTGAGGGATAAAAGGCATGGACTGTGGGACTAGGTAAGGTCTTTGGTTATTCTTTTTAAAGTATTCTTGAGAGTATTAAAGAGAGTGTCTTTTACGTTCCCAGCTAGAGTCATAACTCAGAGCTTATGTTCATGAAAAGATGCTCACGGCCATTTGTCAGTAGGGAAACACAAATCAAAGCCACAGTGGAATCGCCCTTTACCTTCACTAGGATGGCTATGACTGAAAGGTCAAATGATAATAAATTTTGGTAAAAATATGAAGAAATTGGAACCCTCATAGATGAATGGTGGGAAGTTAAAGTGGTACACACCCAAACTAAATGAAAATAGGTTCATGCATACACTTTTGCACATGCCTTTCCAACACTCATAACAGTGAAAAATGGAGACAATTCAAATTGATGAGTGAATAAATAGAATTTGGTACATTCATAAATGGAATATTAGTCAGACAGTAAAAAGAAAGGTGTGCTGATACATGCTAGAATGTGGATGAACCTTGAAAACATTATTCTAAGTGAAAGAAAATAGTCACAAAAGACCAATTATTAATGATTCTATTTATATAAAATGTCTAAAATATGTGATTCAATATAGACAAGAAATAGAATGGTGGGAGCCTAAGGCTGGAGAGCTCAGGGTTAGGGAGATGAAAGTCGGACAAAACTGGGGGCTACTATCAGATACAGGGCTCCTTGTGGGGGATGATGGACATATTCCTAAATCAGTCATAGTAACTAGAAATCATTGAGTTCAATATTTAAAATTACATCTCAATAAAGCTGTTTGCAAACCTAAAAAACTATAAAATAAGCCAAAAACAGCTATAAGGACAGTCTTTAACCCTCATCATTAAAGAGAGAGCCAGAAAGAGCTAAGACAGTTAATATTTTCCCCAGAAATTTCAATCACTTCACCCTTTATTCCAGCAGGAACCCAACAATCTGGCCAAATGATTATATAGATGCAAAAAAATAAGATTATATAGATGCATAAACTGCTAACTGCCAGAGGGAGAGAAACAGGATTTACAAAGCATAAATGACATTTAACAGAAGATATAAAACACTTTATGGGCTGGGGAATTTAGCTCAGTGGTGTCAGCACCTGCCTGGCAAGTGTGAGGTCATGAGTTCAATCACCAGTACCAAAAAAAAAATTTATGATATTGATTTTTGTTTAATAATATTGTATGAAATCCCAAGATTTCATCTAAAAGACATATTCTCAACAGCAACAACAGCACTCCCGAAAGAGTGAAATGGATTTTATAGAGGGGGGAGATTCCTCTCCTTATGTATAAAGTATTGATATTATACAGTGCATAAAGAGATGTATAGTACCTTTATAGTATTAAAAGTTCATGGAGAGATGATTAGGAAAAAATACGTAAAAAGGGACCTTGGGGTCTATAATGTTCCAATGTTCTACATGTAATTTGGTGTGTACAGCATATCCTATACTAAACATTCCTTTCATCTTAATTAATACAAAAATTTTCGGCTCTAAGGTGTGTTCCTTCTGGAAACACTCCCTGTAAGTTCCAGGTTTTCAGTGTAACATACTAATTCTTGTTGCCTAACATTGTGTCACTGGCAAAATCTTGCACCTTACACTAAGAATTTAAATTTTGAAGTGGAAAACCGTAACTCGCTGTAGAACTGAAGTGAGGAATGCTTAGGTTTGTGCTACCTCTTCTCAAGTCTTCCACCCCTAAAATATAATCTTTGACATGAAAAAGAAAAATAGGTGCTATTCCCCTCTTGGTTTATCAGTCCTTTACCCTGCCCCTCCACCACTGCCCCCAGGTCTCCCTCCACTAGCTGGGCAGGAAGATCCGCAGGAAGACCCTGTCTGCAGCTGTAGGTAGAAGACAGTGACCTCCAAACCCACGGCCTCTACTTTCTTTCCAGTGTCTTGCTCTGTCTCCACTGCTCTCTCCATCCCATTCCAAAACTGCAAAGATTGGATTTTAATTTGCAGCAGAACATCACAGAGCGATGAGCATCTTTTACATGGATTGTGGAATAAAAAGCTTTGACTCCTAGTAAGAAAATTCTAGTCATCAGAGAGATGGCAGACGTGATACCAGCTCGTGGAATAGAGGCGAGGAGGTAGGTCAGGACAGACGTAGGGCCACTGGCCTTTGTCTTCTGACTTCTGTGTCCTTGCTCTGGAAAGTTATCTTCCTACTGTGGCTGTATCTTTGGTTTGGCTGGGAATTCTGGGTATTGTAGCAGCACGGTCTTGTGGTTGCCAAAGCCCTGGGGCGTGGGGCATAGACTGGTTGTAAGTAACACCACCTGGCATCTTCACCTGCCGTGCACCCCAGTTCTCGCAGGTGCTGGGGGTCCAGGGCACAATCCCTTTGCTGCTAGTCTGAGTCTTCAGCATCAGCTGAGCTGTCTGTCTCCCCAGCGTGCACTTTATTGGAGCAACGAAGCTTGTCAGGAGCTTGATCTAAGTCACAGTGCAATCAACATCATCGCCCACAAAGCCTCTTTTTATAAACTACCAGAAATATTTTCTGTAGTTTCCAGTTTTCTATTGGGTGTTGTTATGTTTTCCATCAGATATTAACCCTTAGTCTATTTATTTGTTTTCTTAGTGGAATTCAAATATTCTCGTCTGTTGTTTATAAAGCTGGTTTCTGAATGGTAAACATTTAAAAGAAAGTAAGAAATTATCTTTTTTGTGTAATAACTTAAAATCCTACTATAGAGCCATTTTACCCAACAACTCTGAAGTATAAGGAAGGAAAAAAGAAATTAAAAAAAATTTCCCAAAAACAACTCTCCAAGTTTTATTTTATTCAGTTATATGCTTTAAATGAAATTCTTCCAGGGTATAAAAACGTTAAGAAAAATATGAAGCAATTCAGAGCAAGAAAAAGCAGCAAACCAAGCTCTCCAATTTGCAAGTGGTACTATGCAATAATTTTCTGTCCTACTTCCATACCTTTTAAATATGACATACAATAAACCACTGTCACAACTTCCCATTCTTCCTATAATCTTGAGGCTCAGCTGGCAGACTCCTAGGAAAACAGCTCAGTCCTAACCAATCAGCTAAGCAGCTCATCATTTAACCCAAATTGCCACATTCAAAGCACTGTGGTATCAGCTTCCTTTGCTTCCAACAATCTTTTCCATAGCAGACATGTATTGAGTGCTTACTGTATGCCAACCCACACATACAGGCATCATCAGTAATATATACTTGCACTTAACCCATATAAGGATGTTTTCATTACTCTTAAACTCTTACTTAAATCTTATGTTTCTGAATCCCATAAGAATTGGCAATTTGTGTTCATTACAGCTTGGTAGCTACTATGCTCATTGCATGCCAACCTTTGGGCATGCTATCCTCATCTTTGGGGATGTGTGCCCCTAATCCTAATACTAGGATTCTGGCTGGCAGCTTTCAGAATGCAAACTTAGAGCTAGACAATGAAACCTATAGATGAGGAACACGTAGGTGACATTTGTGAGAATCCCCAGTACTTTTTGTAAAGGATTTCAGCGGTTTAGCACGAGAACCTACTTAACTCCTATGAAAAGCTGATGTAACAGGGTGTCCCAAGCAGAAATAATTCTCTCCTGCCTTTCTTTTCAGACATATATTATTTGTAAGTTCAGAACTTTTTATAAAAAGATTGACATATTTGGTGAAATAATATTGATCTTTTACAAAAAAATTCTCTAAATCCATTTATATATCTAGATTATTTTAATAAATGAATGTCAACTTTTTTCAGTTTTGAAAAACATTACATGGTTACCATAAGAATGGCTTTTACCTTCTTTTTAAAATACAAAACCATATGTAGATTTATCACTGTTGCAAAACATAAAAACCAAACAGTGGGCACTGTCTTGGGTCACTCACAGCTGTGTATAAAGTGCCTCTCCCTTTTTCTGCCTGTACTGTCTTTGTAGTAAGGGTGCTCTATGCTAGATGAAAGTCACTGGATTTACCAAGAATTTCTGTCATGCTGAGAAGTGAAGCCTCCAACACCAACTTATTAGTGGCAGAAAAGAGGAAAAGTGGCTCTGATCAAGGTGACCTCAGTGACCTGTCCAGCCTGCAGCTGCCCAGCAGAACAATCTGAAACATGGCCTGATGCAAGGCAGAGCCCCTGTGTGCACTGCAGCCAGTCACAACTTTAGGAACACAGAGGCTCCCAGCAGGGCTGCTTGGGTTTCTACATACCCTAAAGAGTAGAGGCGGCACTGCTTGCTGCGAATTTGATGAGCTAAGCCAAACCTGTCATCAAGGCACACCAACCAGGGCTTGTCCGCAGGACTGGAGTCGGTAGCCAGGCTGTCTGCACTCATATGACTGCATGCAATCTGTAGAGATTGGAAATCAATATAAATAATTTAAAACGCTGGATGATAAATGGCAGGTAGAGACGTACTGCTTCTTTGGTCCCTGAGAGCCTTAATAGGAGAGTTATGACCTCCACTGCTAACTACTCTCCTCCCCCGGGAACCACAAGACTGCAGTAAAATGTTTGGAGGAATTTCAATTACATACCAGATAAGTAGTAACTTCATGGAGACTCAATGCAGGTTCGAAGGGAAGTGATGAGCTGCTATAACCATTTGCCCAGACAGCAGATCAGAAGCAGGGATAGGAGGGGAGAGGCTTTGCAGAGGTTAGTCTGGGAGGAGAAACAGACATTGACAGAGAGCCTCAGACCAACGGGGCACTGCAGATAGAGAGCACAGTACAGCGACATGTTGTTGCAACTATGGGCACAGACCTCAGAAGGACACTCACAAGGTTATCTCTCTCTCTTTTCAGGCAGATAAGGTGGGCCGCCAGAGCCACAAAGATGGCATGTGTTCCCCAAGGTAGACAGCTGAGCATAGGTCAAGGGAAATTACAAGGCCATGCCTGCTGATAAGATGCTATTTTTCTTAAGAAAGTGCTCTAATGAGCTTCCTCCTGGGAGAGGAGGGCGAGAGTCCCAGACAGGAGGCTCTTAGAAGCTAAACAAGGCACTTTTCCTAACTCATTTGTCAAAATTAGGTAAGAAAACCAAAGGAAATGTAAATCCAAGGCAAGCAGGAATAGGTCTCTAACTCCGAGTGCACATTAAACCAACACAAAGGATGCTGATTTGTGTGTGAGACCTGTGCAGTTTGGACGGCTGAGGCTGTTGGAATGGAAGAAAGCAACTGTGTGGCCAGGTTATTCTCCTTGCTGAGCACCTGCCTCCTCACTCCTCCAAACTCACCCAGTCACCATGATGCTCCATGACAGGCAGCTCTTGTCACATCACAACTGTGCACTACTCCAGACAGAAAAGCTGTTTGTTGCTTCAATTAATTAGAAAAAATAACAGAAAGGATTTTCTTCATGACAAGATATTCTAGAACTGTCTAATCCATTTATTTACCTGATTTTCCAAAGTTTTACTCTATGATGTGCACATCACCCGGAGCTGTTCAACTAGTCCAGCATCTGTGTCACTATAGCTATAACCTAGGGCTGGCCTGGCAAGACTGTCCTGACACTATGCATCAGCCATGGTGAGTCTTCTGTGAGGATTGGGACATTTTACAGGAAAGTGCAAACCGAGAAAAGGCTAGATATTCTCTTCCTTCAACCCATAGCTTTCTATTTCTCCATCTCCAAACACTATTAAAGGAGAAAAACAATAACAGAAAACAGAATTGAATTTTCTTTCAAACAACTACTACCGAAAATATTTATCAACTGGGTGCATTAACACGTTAATCTGTAGAACTTGTCTTCTACTATTCTCTGATTAAGAAATGGAAGTTATGCTCTGCCTGTCATCCATCCACCCAAGGGAAGGAAAGTCACCATTGGGATTAGAGCAAAGTTGTGTTCATTTGGCCCTGATCTACTGTGGAGGACCACCAGGATGATTCTCCTCGAAAGAAGAGCAATTGTCTCCATTTTGGCTAAACCTGGCCCTATTGCCATGTATTGATATGTGCAGAGGTGGCTCGACTTTTGTGTTTATTTCCTCAATTGGCTTTAAGCAATGCACATGGGTCTAGCGGAAGTGCAGATGTGCAGCCTTTAAGGCAATGGTACAGGTCAGTGATGCCCAGCCAGTGGCCACCAAATAGTATGCGTGAGCTAGCCAGAGAGATACCATGCAACAAGGTCAGCTGAGAATGAGCGTCAAGAAAAGAGGCTTGAAAATCACACATCAAAACTGAAGCAATGACCCAAAACACTAGATACCGCCCCAGTCTGTGATATTCAGATTATCCTTTCTGCCTATCTCTCTCTCTGCATATAGCAGAGATGATTTCAGGCCTCCTACTAGCCCTCTTCACAGCACTCAGACACTGACCACCACTCTCATGGTCACTCATCCCTGAGACACTCCTCTCTTCAGGAATTAATAAAATCCAAGTCTGGCCCTAGGTTGAGGCCTTTGGTCTGGTTAGCCACTATTCTGATTGGACTTAGGTCCTTTGGCTCCCTACAACTACAAATATACCTTCGTACCTTGATTCTTACCACGTGTTGTAGATTGAAATTAATTTATTGAAATTCTAATAACTTTTCCATGAGATTACAAATATAAATTTCCCAGACTGTGACAAGGTACGGGATGGATTTTCTGTAATCTACTAATGGACAGATGAGCGCGTTTGCTAGCATGCTTCTTCATGCCCTGCCTCCAGTAGGGAGCTGGCTGGTCTAGGGAAGTCCTATAGTCCCCATGGCGTTCCTGGACCTCCTAAGGTACGGCCATTTGCTCAAGGGCAGCTCTCTGGAGTGCTCTTATTAAAAACCTCTGTGTTGATTGCCATTATTATTGCTCTTGGTAAGCACTTCACTAAGGACTTCCAAACATGAGGTGAGATACATCTGTCTCTTGCTCATATTTTCCTATTGATACCACCAAACTCTAACTCTAGCCTCTTTTACAGTGTTGAAGGTATGCTCTCATGTGCTTGAGAATCACTTGGGAAGTGCTTAAAGATGCAAGTTCCTGGGCTCCACTCCATGGCTGCAAAATCAGAATCTTTGAGACTAACACCAGGGAACACACATTCTAAGAAGATCCCACAGGTACTACACAGATGGTCCCGAGAGGAGTCCACTGGAGGGCTTAGCTTTTTATAAAGCCCAGGGAAATGTTGCACGTTGCTTTCACTTGTGCCTTCATGAATTAAGGGAAAAGAATATACGTAAGTCAGAACTTTCAACTGAAAGCAGCAGCCCCTCTGACCTCATCCCTAACGAAAGGCCAGAGTGGATGAAACACTACCCAGAAGCCTCCAAAAATCAGGTATGAAGGGCCAAGAGTTAGGATTTTGAGATCTATTTTCCCTTCTTTCACCAGCAGTAGCTAGGTTTTTATTCTATTAAAGATAATGCTTTGTCTAATTAAGCATTTATTCTTATTCAAAGATTTTATCTTGCACAGGCATCTCCCTGATAGAAGGACATTCTTTTCCATGCAGTCTCTCTAATAATATGCCCCTTTCCTCCTTTAGCTCAAAAATAAAACCATAGCAGTTATATAGTTTTAACCATTTGTTAACCATCTCATTGACAGATATTTGCTTTTAAAAATAACTAGGAATCCTCCATAAAATTCTGCTCCTAAAATTAATTAAATATTGATTTTTTTTCAAACTTTCTAGTTAAGATTTATGGCCAGGGCTTCCATAAACCTCCTTGCAAGCAAAATACGTGAGGGTTGCAACTCTGAGCTAAGCTCCAACTCAAGTAATTATGCTCTCTGACTATCTAATTCCCCTTATAATTGTAGCCATAGAAAGTGAATTAGGCTGGACAAAGAATACACTCAAGGAAAAAATGTTTTCTGAAATTATTTTTAGTTATTTAGCTGAAATGAATCTAATTTACTTTCATTTCATTAGCATCCCAGAAGTTTAAACAGTATGTCTGCCAATCCATAAGGAGAATGTGGCAAAGGCGTCCTTAAAATTTAGCGAATTTTGGCAGCAATTAATTCAATAACCAACTGTCCCATTATTTTGAAACATTTAAGGGCAGAATTGTATTTTTGTTGTTTTTGTCCGGGTGTAGGTGTGTTTGTATATGTGAGAGAGTGCAAATATAATAGATACTGTTTTAATGGTATATTATAAATGGTCGTAAAGTTATAGTCTGAACTTCCAAAGCCTGAGTTCATAGATTATTTTTACAAACAGATGAGGAGGTAATTAGACCGATACATAATAGAAAAACAAGCTTCAAAACATATTTTATTTTTTCATGTCTAAACAGCCACATTGCTTAGATTGATTTTCTACTGCAAGGCTTATTTCCTGGAGGCATATGGTTTGGGGGTTGCCATAAAAAGCTGGATCTGGAAACTTTCTGCAGAACAGAGTGCTGTGTTTATGATTTAACCATTTCTTGACAGCAAGAGACATTATATCACTAACTATAGAACCTCATCTTGCAATCATGTTTTTTTCGCGTTAAAAGATGTATAACTAAGCTAAACTTGACATTCTGCATCATCTACCCACATACTATATTCTCTGCTGTTCTATTAAAAACACAGGGCCCAAGCATGCCATCAGGGTCCCTGCAATGCACCGGCTCAGAGGGAGCTGCCCATGGCTGGGTCATACCCTGTGCCTCTATTCCCAGTTTTCCTCAACCTCAAGCTCCTTCCTGGTCTTCTGTTTACCTCTGGTAGAGGCCACGTGCCTCCCTAGTGCTCTAGCTGTTTAGGGGAAGGAGGATATTTTATTTAGGTTGGATATCTCAGAGTCCAGCACAGTGCCAGTCACAGATGAGGTGCTCAAAAAATTCCTGCTGCATTGATGTCTGAAAAAAAATCAAATGCTGGACTTTGCTGTGTGAGTTTGAGCACACATTTGTAGAGAACTTTTTCTTTTAATTTTAAAAAGAAGTTTAAGAAGATGGAGGTGGAATTCACTTTAGTATTTTCAAAGATTTTATTTTTTTTCCTAGTCCGTGATGACTCACTACTGCTAACTGTGAAAATTTTAAGTAACAGTGAGTCTTATATTCTGCCAGTTTTGCAGGTTTCCATTGTCAAGATGAGTTCTAAATGCGGCATAAGCCACAAAAGCAGCCAAATAGCTCTGCATTCCATAGAGAAGGGGAGGGTACAATGGTTAGTAAAAGATTCTGATAGAGAACCATTCCGTGTCACCTCCTGTCATCTGTAATGTCTCCCACCTGCTGCCCACCTGCCTACACGAGGGTGCATCGAGGTGCAAGACTTAGCCTGGATAAAATGGTTCCTGAATACAAAACCATTGTGAGGCCTAGGACTTTATCTCACTCTTTCTATGGAACAAGACTCCTTCTAGCGAGTTTTGAAGGAGTTTAGGATGTGCTGTCTCAAAAACATCAAGCTGGGGTAGATTCTGGAAATTGATGATTTCAAGTTGAAATCAATCTAGGAACTAAAACTTCAGAAAGGGACACCTGGCCTATCTTTTCCTACATGCAGCAAGCCATAAAGATTCTTTTGAGAGGAATGTCCTTCCCATACCAAGGCTGGGAAATAATCACCAGAGACTAGTAATTAGAGCTGCAATGGGACTGAATAAATGAACTCTTTAAGTAACCCTGATCGTTGACTAGTTTTCCATCCCCACCCTATCTCTCAGCACTATACCTACAATTATCTGCCCTACTCCAATTTTCTGTCATTTATTCACAAGTTTATTGTTCTTTGTCTAAAAGATATAAAAACAACATGCCTTAGTCATTTCTTTGGCTTTTATTCTCTTGTTGAAGATCTCATGTATATATATGCAAATTAAATAAGACATTTATACTTTTATTTATCAGCCATTGTATTAAACAGGACTCTACATCCAGCCAAAGGACCCCCACAGGAGTGAAGGGAATCCTTCTCCTATAGAGCTTCAACAACTAAATCTCTATTACTGCACTCACCACACTGACTAATAATTATGCATCATTTATCTGCCTTCACAATTCATTCACTAGCTTCTTGAGGGCAGAGGCCACATACTCAAGAGCTAGCACAGGCATGTTCCTGGCATATTGTAAGAGGTAAAAAATACATTGTTATTAATAATTGTATTATACTGTCTATACAATGCAAGATCACAGAACTGGAAGAGACATTAGAAATAATCTGATCCAATTTTCTACTTTTCAAGATCAAAATAGTGAGAGCCAAAGAAACCAAGTAAATTGCCTGCGGTTACATCAGACTATATATCACATGAGAGGATGCTTCTGTTTTTTAAAGAATTTTTCTCCTCTGAGCCAGAGGCTCATAGGGAAGGTTCCAGAAGAATCTCAAATGACCACGGCAAGACTCAAGATCACCTTCTAAGTAAATGTGCTTCATATTAGTTATATAACACTAACCTAAAATACATGTAAGATAAAATTTGAAATCTTGTACTCAGTAAATTAATTTTGGAAGGTGGAGTTCATAGTTCTCAAATTCAGTTTATAAATTAAACACCTCTCATATTTCTCAGGGGGTTTGAAGAGTTTTTCAAAGTCCTTCATGAAAAGCCAAATGACAAAATTAAAAATCTCAGTATTATAATTAAGTCTGTATAAATCCACCAAATTAACTTGCAGCAGCAAAATAAGATGAAAAGCGTAAGGACCAGCCAGTTTATCATCCCATGGCCCACAATTAATTCTACAAGTTTTGAATTCCACGTTTGGGGGATAAGTATTAAAATCTCTATGATTGCCTGATTATGTCATAGGAGAAGTGAGACTTTTTTTACCCCTAAACTAGCTTTCGGAAGACCTAAAAATAGCCTCTCTCACAGAGGAAAATGGGTTTCATTGCCAGGTAGGTGCAGAAGAAGGGTGCCCAGAGCTGGTGGGCTGAAAGAAATCTTAAAACTCCTGGGCCCCTTAGGTCAGGCCAGGTCCACAAGGCAGTACTTTGAGTGGGCCTATGCTCAGCTCCCAAGCAGTTTGAGTTCTTAATTTTCTGGCACCTCTCAGGTCAGGGCTAAGCAGTCCTCACGCCCAGGTCTCCTCTTCTATCTGCCTTTTCCCCAGGATCAGGCAATCTGAGTGAGGAACTCCTGATTAACGTGTCAAGAGCCGCAGACTCCCCTTAATAGATGGGCTCTCGGGCTGCTCGGGGCACTGACTCTGCAGCAAGTTGGGCCGGAGCTGCCACAGTGTGTTAAGTCACTAATCAAGGCAGCCTCAGCTCGCTAGTGATTGAAAGTGCTCCGAGGAGAGATGCTTTTGGATTCATTAACTGCCTGTCGTTCTGCCTTGCAGTCTCCTCTGCTCTCTTGCCCAACGTGTCCCTGGCTGCCAAGATTCTGCTGCAGGAAAGCGAGATTGCGAATGCCTCTAAATGCAGGTTGGAGCTCCAGCCTCCAGATGACGGCTGTTCTGTGACACACTTGACTGCCTACTCACTGGGATGAATCTGTTGCTTCAAACGGTTCTGCTAAGCAATTTTCTAAAGTGGGTCTTTAAAACACTTCTGCATGAATCATTAGAACATTTCAGGTTGATGAGACTCCTGGAAGGAAGGAAGAAAATGCCCTAGCATTTTATCAGCTCTGTGAGAGTGGGTAAATTTAAGCAGCAATGCCCCTGAAACCACGTCCCTACCGCGACCTTGTCAGGAACTCCCCACCTCTCATAGACAAACCCTTCTTTGCAATTGGCATTCACTGCCTTTTACACTGTTTCCAAACCCATTTGAGCCTGAAACACAACCTGGATGGTGCTGATGTATCTCAGAAATCTCCAGGCTTCTTCATCCAAAGACTGAGCAGGGCCTGCCCACGGCTGGAGCTGTATTTGCCACCGGGGACCCTGCAAGAGGAGAAAACACAGGCAGCATGTCAGAACTGAGGAGCTGAGCAGGGTCGGAAAAGTATCACATACAACCAAGGTTGCCTTCATTGTCACCAAAGCAAGCACGTGTGCACAGAGGCTGCCAGGAATGCTCTTAGAGCTGCCATCATGAAAGCCACACGGGTCACAGGGAAACAAATGAGACCAGAGAAAGCCCAGAATGCAAGTGAAGCAGGAGATAGCAAAGGCCCTGGGGACTGTCTAAGTTAGTACTTCCATGAAAGGCAAGTTTCACCGACCCCATTGGACTGTCTCTTAACAGTGACTTTACGATACATGATGCCACTCTCCATTTGGAAGGGAAAGTCTGTTGTTTACTCATTTCCTGACCTTTGAGCTTCAGGAGTATGTGCCTCCTAAGGACCAGTTTTGGTGTCTGCAGCACCACAGTGCAGAAGTCTCATTTTTGCCGGGAAAGAACATGCTGTTATGTCATAGGGCCATGCCCCCTTGCTGTGCTGTGTGCGTGGGGACAATGACCATGAAGCTGTCACCACCTTCCCCAGTGAGGGTGGATTTCTAGTACTGTGATGAGACATGGGGTAGTCCCAAAAACCAGTTGGTTAGGAGTGAACCCCTGTGTTCCCTTTTGTAGCAAGGATCTGCAGATGAAGAGCTGGAAGAAGAAAAATAGGAACCCCTTCTATTTCAAAGGGAAGCATTCTCAGGGAGTCCTTGCTAGAGTTTCTTACTACACTGTCACCACCTGAGACCCCCAAGAAGATTGTTGTGATTTCAAGGGGGAAGGGGCAGTTCAGCCTACAGGGTGGGGAAGGGCGGAGGGAGCAGAAGTTGGCAGTGTGAATATCTAGTGTTAGGGAAAGGTTTCCGGTTCCTGCAGAGTGGTCAAGATGGGCCCACAAGCTGTAGTGTGCTGATCCCTGATCCAACTTATTCCAGTTTGGAGCTCTGCTGGCCTAGATGAAAATACTTTCTTAGAATGGCACAAAGGAGCAGACTGTGGTATCTGGGTTAAAACCAACCTTGTTATCTGAATGACTTGGCAAATATCAGAGTCTCTGCAGGATAATGGGGGAACTTCAGACTGGCTAATGGAGAGAATTTTACAAGCATCTGTTTCAGGCAATGGAAGCAAAAGAGCATTATGGGGACAAGAGGAAAATTGGTACTGTGGTAGGAAATGTCACCCCAAAGGGAAACTCCTAAATTGGCTTCCCATGTAACACATTAGCACAGATCAGGCTGATTGCCCTTAAATGGGGTGGCTTGGGTGACTGGGGCTAAGCTGAAAACATGGACAAATTGAGGAGGGTTCTACCCTGTGAGGGTCTCAGATGAATGCAAACCCTTTGGATGTGACAAAGCGCTGTCCCAGTTTAGGCGGCATTGGACACTTCTCTTTGCAGAGTCTTAGAGCCCTGTGTTTCCATGTCCCGGTAGGCTGTGCACCCTTCCCATGCTCAGCACCACACGGTCCTTCTGGGTCAGGAGCACATCCGTGAGTTCCTGTAAGCTGTCTTTCTAGGGGTCTGTGAGCAGAGCTGGCTTCCCAGGTGACCCACCAGTGCAGGTTTAGCAGGGTCACGCTTGGTTTATCACTCTGCTGATAGAGGCTTTGCAGTTCTCAGTAATTTTGAACAGGAGGCTCTATATTTTCATTTTACAAGGAGCCCTGCAAATTCTGTAGCCAGTCTGCTCTGAAGGTCCTTTGCTGGGATGATGGTCTGTCTTATAGCTGTTCTCACCCTGTGAAGGCTGAGCAGTAGAGGCTACTTTAAGAGTGGATATTAGCTAATAGATTTCCCAAGGGAAGGCCTCCACTTCCATATTTCTTTTGCCCATCTCTGAGTTAGCTGTGGGTTACCATTGTGTCAAATGACATTGACTGAACATCAGCCACTCTGTCCCCAGCACTGGGAAACATAGGTCTGAATAAAACTTGGACTCTCTAAGAGACATGATGGTCAGATTGAGGAATAAGAAGGGAAGATATGTATAAAATAACTTTGATAAAGAAATGTGGCAACATTTGGGACAATCACTCTTTCAGGGACACTATTTACTTCTGCAATCACAAACTATACATGTAAACCCGAATGCCTTTTATTTTACTCAGTTACATTTTTTTTTTCACATCAGGGAGGTATAATGTCTTCCCAGGTTGCCAAAGTGTCAGCCCAGTGACACAAGGTCCATAAGAGCGTGCTAGACCTGGGGTCTGAAACCACCTGTTAGTTGTCTCACAGGACAGATGGTTCACAAGTGCCCCTGACATCTGGCCCATGAGCTTCTTGATGAAAATGATGCCGTTCACATGCATGGCTTTCCTCTAGGTCAGGGTTCTTTCATGGGTCAAATAGCAAATATTTTAGATTTTGCAGGCCATATGGATTCTGTTGCATCCCCTGACCTCCTGTTGTAGCTCAAAACAGCCATGGACAGTAAATAAATAAATGGTTGTGGCTGTGCTCCAATAAAGTTCCATTTATAAAAACAGGCCACAGGCTGAATTTGGCCCACAAGCTGTAGCGTGCTGATCCCTGATCCAACTTATTCCAGTTTGGAGCTCTGCTGGCCTAGATGAAAATACTTTCTTAGAATGGCACAAAGGAGCAGACTGTGGTATCTGGGTTAAAACCAACCTTGTTATCTGAATGACTTGGCAAATATCAGAGTCTCTGCAGGATAATGGGGGAACTTCAGACTGGCTAATGGAGAGAATTTTACAAAGCAGGGGCAGGATTTGAGGAAACCCATAAGTGATAATGCAATGCCTGTGGCTGATAATACCAGAGTCTCTAGGCACCCAGGAAGTGGCACGGAGGAACACAGACTCCAGCCTATCTTCCTGGTCAATCTTCTGCTCAAAGGGAAGGCAGAGCAGAAGGAGGCTGTGATTGGTCCATGACTCAGCCTCCCAGTGTCACAACAGGTGGAACAGCGTGGAAACAGGACCAGGAAGGGCCAGAAGAAGATCTGTGGGTAGCATTCTCTGTAGTGAGGCTTGACCAAGGAGTCATTCATCAGTGGGTATCTGTGCCCTCTACCAGGCTCTGTCTTACAACTAATATAAAACACAACTGTGTCAGCCAGCAAGCATAATGAACTGTAGGGGCTCTGACTGAAATCATTATAGGGTGCAGTGAAAGTAGAAAGAGAAACAGCCTTGAGAATTACTTTATTAAAAATGCTTACAGGGCCGGGGATTTAGCTAACGGCATAAGCCCCTGTTCAGCAAGCGCGAAGTCGTGAGTTTGAATCCTGGTACCCGCCTCCCCAAGAAAAGCTGGAAAAATGCAGATCATATCATGGGAAATAGTCCCTCCTTCTAGAAGTCAAAAGCACATCTGGCATCATGAAAGAAACACCTTAAACAGAGTACCAGCATTTAATCTGGGATAACACAGGATAAGCAGCTTCACAGATCAGGAGTTGTGGATCCAAATGATGAATCAATATGGTGAAACTATAGATTGACCTTGTGAATCCACAATTAGGACTTTTCTTGTGTTCTGATATTTCTCATTTTCAACTAAATATGAGCCACAAACAAGCTAAACACAGCAGCAGGGCCAGTAAATAATACAAGCTGAGGAGTCTCAGATGGAAATGTAAGGGAACACACGGAAGATAGATACCCTGGAAAGTGCTCTGGTGTAATGTTTTGATTGAGCTGTTTAAAAACATTTCACATAAAGCAATATTCTTATTGGAGTCAGTCTGACAGCAATTTGTGATTATTTCCCCATCGAAACCACTAGCTTTTGTCATGTCTTTCAATTATCATTTGTCTTAATTCTTTAGCACACTCACCAACATCTGTCTGTTCCAAATTCCCACAAGCAGAATTCTCTGAGCACCTTCAAACACCAATGGCACATTTAACAGAAAGGGGCAAATCCCATTTTTTTTCTTTTAAAATTTTCTTCTGTTCCTATGATTTTACTCCAAAAAGCTTCCTAAATGCCAGGATTCATTAAATGCCTTTTATCCATGAGCTTCAAATAGTAAACTGTCATAACAATAGTACCCTCATCACTCCCAGGAGGCGGGGATGAAGATTCCCTGGCCTGTCAGTCCATCAAACCTCCTCTTTAAACAGGTAAAGCGGTCATTTAGCAGAAGGTAGATGGAGGTACCATCATTCTGCACTGGTCTATCGGTCGCTAAGAGGACTCCCCTGAAACGTTAGATGAAGCTTTACAGTGAGTTGCACAAGGAAGTAGCCCTGCTCCCGGGCCTCTGAAGGGGTCCTCTTACTCCTTTGAAATCCATGGCCCTGCTCCCTAAATCATCAGTGTCAAACAAAGTGGCCCTCCCTAACTCAGACGAGTTTCTCAGGCCAGGCAGGATCCTCAGTTTCAGAGGAAGTAGTCCTCTTTTTGTTCCACAAGCCCTTATGTGGTCCCATCTCCAGAGAACATGCATTACAAAGCTGGCTTTTTCTTTTTTCTTTTTTTTTAATTTTAAAAAGATTAAGATAAAGAGGACATAACAAAACAGATCAGAACACAACAATTTAAGCAACATAGTGTTTGACCACAAGACAACCTGACATAACAGTAGCTACCATAGTGTCTCTTTCCTTGAAATATTTGAGTACACCTTCATACACTATAGTATCAAACATAACAAAATAGTACAAAACCATTCAAGAGAATGAAAGTATTACAGGGTATTTAGAACCAACTAACAGAAAAATGAACAATGGTTACTATATTATCTCCTTGTCCATAAAAAATTTTGTTTATACTACCACACATAATAAAACCCAATAAGCTACAACATGATAAAACCAATGGAGACAGAAGAACAAAAGCATGGTAGGCCTCTAAATTTTGTTTCATAAAAATAAAAAGACAGATTCTCTCAAGATACTAAGCTGAATTCCAAAATTTTACTCCAAAAGATAATGCATAAATGTAATAATCTTTTAAAATACTTCTTTGCTTATCAGCCTAGAATTGCTAAAGCAAGACCATAAAGACCCAAGCAAA